ACCCAACCACCTGAGATGCACTGGGCATTGGTTTTACGTAGATCTGAAGGCCCCCCCATTCAGCAAAATCCTCGCCGGGACCCTCCCCGAGACCTGCCCGACCCCCCCCGACACACCCAGCCCCCTGAGAAGCTCCGGGCATTGGTTTCTCCTAGATCTGAGGGCCCCCCCACTCAGCACGCAACGCCGCGTTGTCAACTTCGACGGGTGGTGCTGCGAGGCGGGGAACGCCTCCTGGCATTTCCATAGACTACACTCCATGCATTGCCACGGGGTGCCCATCCTCTTCTTGTCTCCCAGGCACGCGCTGCACACGCGCAGCCCGTCTGCGCGGCTCCACTGCCCTACCGTCGGGCACATGCTCTTGTACTTCGTGCATCCGCAGACCGCGCACCTGCCGGACGGCATGAACTCCTTCTCCATCGCCTCCCAGTCCAACACTTCCCCGCGCAGGGTGCGCAACAGCAATCCCGGCCCCCCCCGCTCGTCCTTCTTCTGATACGGCGCTCTGTAAAAAGGGCGAAAGATGAGCATGTCCCCCCAGCGCTGTACCCGCGTCAGTGCCACGTAGCTCGACAAAGGTGACGTGCCCCCGCCGATGCTCAGGTCCACGACGACACCTTGTTTAAAAGTTTGCCCCTGCGCCGCGTGGGCAGTCACACCGAAGGCCGGGGCCAGCGGGAACTGCCGTCTTTTGACCTTCAGTCGCTGGCGCGGACGACCTTTGTCGACGAACCACTCCTTCTTTTGCGTAACCACCGGGTACAAGCCTGGCGCCCTTAATCCCTCGATTGTCCACTTGCACGGCTTCCGTCCGCCCTTGCCGTCGTCGCCTTCGTCGAACAACACGAAAATTACTTTCGGGTTTTTCTTCAAAATGGGCCCCCCCCCCCCCCCCCCCCACGCGTGACCCGATCGTGCTCTCCGTCCCCGTCGCAAGTCCAAGACTGAACGCGGCCGACGCGACCGCGCAAGAGGTTCTTGTCCTCGCTGCGATCTATGTGATCAGTCAGAGCGACTGGCATGCCTTCAGCGATGGGCAAGAAGCCGTACAAGTCTCCGCTCTCCTTGTCGCGTCGTTGGAGCCGTGCCATCTTCTGCTGCGGCGGATCCGGTCGCTCGCGGAGCGCCTCCGGCGTCGGCGTATCCCGCGCAGGGACGTACACCATCGGCTTCCCGTGCCTTCGCGCGTACTGCGACGCTCGGAGCTTGTTGGCCTCATACTTGACGTCGTTGTTCGGAAACACTCCCGGCGCGATGAAGAACTTTTCCGACTGCAAACGCGGGTCGTCCGGGCCATCCAACACCAGACGGCGCCGCGCACGTTCCCCTCGGCACACCTGACACTCCGGTTGGCGGATCTCCTTCGACGTCACCTTGCGTCTTCGACGTTGACCCGCTGCACCCGACGCTTCATCCTTTGCGCCATCGCACAACTCCCGGCATGCCCGATTCCGGCAACCCACGTCTCCGTGCAGCCAGCTCCCCGTAACGGTGGTGCCCCTACCGTGTAAGAATGCGTGCGCGCTCGACGACAGCGCCCCTGTACGGAATTCTTCCTGCACCTCCTTCAGCCAGGCGTCGTCGCACCGCTCGCACTCCACCAGCTCCGTCACGCCCTGCACCCCGCACTCGGGTCCACCCCACAGTAGAGATTGGCCATGGAGCACAGGTGGCAGGGATGTGTACTTGCGCGCCGCCGAGATGCGCTCGGCGGGGACGTCCGCCAGGAAGCCACGGTCGGGGGGTGCTAGTTGCCAGAAGTCACCACTCAGCACGACGTTCAAACCGCCGAACGGGCGCGGCACGCCTCTGTCCCCGCGCTTCGTTGTGCCCACAACCCGGATCACCCCGCGTAGTTTCGCGCCTACTTCTGCCAGGAGTCTGGCGCTCACCATGCTGATCTCGTCGATGAACAACCACCTCCACTGGAGCACGCGCTTGGCAGTCTCGCACTCCAGCTTCACATCCTCCCCCTGGTCGGCTCCCCGCTTGATAGCTGGTATGCCGCACGCATGGTGGATGGTGTCCCCTCCTAGCAGCTGCGCCATGACGGCTGGCAGGGCGGTGATTTGGAAGTTCACCCCGATCGTCCACTTCATCAATCCCTCGAACAGTTCGTGGCGAAGAATGCGCAACACGTGCGACTTGCCCGTCCCAGGGCCCCCGTGCATGCACCACTGCAGGGTTCCCCCCATGGCCGTCTCATCCATTCCCTCGCCATCGATCTCCTGCATTACCCGACACGCCACCTTCTTCGCCATCTCGGACTGCTCCGCGTTCACCACGCGCCGCCCCGTGTCTTTGTCCACCCAGAACTCGAGGTCCGCGAGCCACCTGGCCACGTCATCCGAAGTGGCGGCCGCGCCCGCGACAACGACCCCTCCAGCGGCGTCCGGCATCCTGTCGGCCATGGAACACTCTTTGTTCCGAGACTTCCGCGCTTCCCGGAGAACCAGGTCCAAGTCACAGGCCTGCTCTGCCGGCCAAGCGCCTGCTACCTCGCTGGGCGGCGTTTCGCCGTCACGGAGCCCCCACGCCTGCTGCGCCACCGCCATGCCCCATTTCGAGTTGTCGTAATGAGATGTGCCTCCCGCTCCGCCGTCTGCGCCCTCCTCCTCGCCGGCGCTGCCTCCGACCCCGTCTTTCCGTCGCTTCCCCCCAACGCGCGACTTCAGCGCCTCCTCGAGCTGATCGAAGCCCACGTCTTATTCCACGTCGCTCACGTCTTCGTCGATCCGTTCCTCCGCTTCGCCAGCATCCCGTGGTCGGACGCGGTACACACTCAGGAAGTTCCCCACGTACCGCGCGGCCTCCTTCGTCTGCACTCCGCCGTCCAGCCACGCAACCATGGCTGCGTCCCACGTCGCCGCTTCGCCACGCAGGCTCCCTGCGAACGCTACGTGTTGGTCCGCCACGTCGGGCCTCAGGGTCCACGGGTGGAAATACGTCATGACGATGCGCGCCGACCGCTCCGCTTCCCCTGGTCGCCCGCGCGGCACGGGCGCTCCGAAAAAAGTGGGTGCCATGGGCCTCCTATTCCGCCGGAGAATCCACGTGTGGCGAAGGTGGGCGCACCCTCTGGTGTCTGGATAAGGAACCCAATCGTCACCTCTGTCTTCCTTCACCGTGTAGTCCACCCCGGGCACCAAGTCCTCCTCCAGACTCGCGCTCCTCCGCCCCTGACGCAGTTTGTCCGCGCCCCGCTGCGTCAAGACTGCATAATGGCTCGGATTCTCCGCATCCGCGATTCTCGTCGGGAAGGACAGTAACACCGGCGTCCAGCATGTTGCGAACTCATACGGAGATAGGTCCCACAGGCCGGAACTCTTCGGACGCAGTCCATACAACATGCCTACATCTCGAACAGTCACCTTTCGGCGTCTCTTCTGCCGCATGTCAACTTCGGCAAACTGAGCTTTGCGACCCCCAGACGCGCGGTCTGCCAGGCGCTCGACCAACTCTACGTACTCGCGCCCGTAAAACGCTGCCGTCTCACAGGACTTCATTGCCTCCGCCGCAGTCACATCGCCCTCTCGCGCGAAGGCCCTCAGGCTTGCACATTCGAATTGGCCGCGTACGATGCCCTTGCCATAAGCGTCGCTCATGATTCGGTTCGCTACCCTCTTACCGATCCGATTCACGCTCTCCCCCTGCAGCTGCATGCCGAGCTTCTCGACTCCTTTGCAACACTCTTTCACCTCGTGGAAAGCCATTGGCCGCCGCTTCGTACAGTAGTCGCAGGCGTATCCTGCCTGCGCATCCTGCGCCATCTGCGCGACCCTGATGATCGCTGCGTCGTCGAGCTTATTGTCGCATGCTTTCTCGCACGTGCAACAGACCTTCGTGATGGGAAATCGATACGGCAGTTGCACGTCCGAATTGAAACGCTGCGCGGACAACATGCACGGATTCGTGCCGTTCAGGCTCGCGTGATTCATCGGTCCGCGTAGGCTGCCAGTCCGATTCCGACGCCCTGCCTTCGGCATGTCCAACGCCACCGCCTGCCCCGGACACACGACGATAGCACGGGCAATGATCTGCGCCGTGCGCGGGAAATCCGCCTTACACAACTTCGGGTTGTCCTTCCGACGGCACGCCGGCAGAGGTATTCGCCCCCCAGTCTCTTCATTCTTCAGATGGACGTGGTTCTGCTTCCTCTCTTGTAGGTACTGCACATCCGCATTCAGATATTCTTCCCCCATGCCACAGCGTCGTCCTGGGCCTCCGTCGTCGATGCTTTTGAATGGAGAGTGCGCGTTTGAAACGCGGGCCTTCCAAGGAGCCCGTCCTCGTCTTTGAACTCCGGCCAAGACTTCTCCGCCTCCCCCAGCCTCCGACCCATTTCCTCCGCCGACACCTGCTGCGAATAAACCTGCCGACAGACGCGACTCTTGTACCCCAAATACCCCTCCACAATCTTCTCGCCCCGGTGATGCACGTCGTCACGGACGATTTCGAACACCTCCTCGAGCGGCGCGTGCTGGTGCAGGCACTGTGCGAATACCTGGCAGTGTGCGTGCAGAGATCCCGTAGATTTCTGAGCTTCTATGGACACGTAGTAGGCATCCACGCGTCCGAACGCGCCCCCGCCTGGCATGGCGTTGCTTCCGAACAGGTCCTGGCACGGGAACCCCCCTTCGGCGAGATTGCAACGCGGGCAATTCGGGCAAGTCCGCAGCCCGAACAGGTGCCGGAGCGTCGCGCCCACCAGGATGCGGAAGCCGTCAACGCTGGCCATGGGATCCCGCGCGAGGATTCGTCTACGCTCGGCCCACGTCGGCACCCCAGCCTGTGCTGCATCCATTGGAAGATCCAGGCGTGCCTCGTCTACGTCGGGGGCTACACGCGGCCACTCCCGATGCCCCGCCAGCCGCGACTGCGCTTCATTATCAGCTGCCGCGCGCACGGGGTCCTGCCGTCGCGCGCGCGACAGGCGGACCACGGGCAGATTGCGCCCTTCGTCGGGCGAGAAAGTTACGAAGATTGGGACGCCATACCGGACTCGCAGAGCGTTCGTCTCGAACCTCATCACACGCCGAGATTCCTGTGCACCTGGAAGGCGCCGCGACGCGTGCTCAATGTGAGTGAGGAGCTTGTGGGCGGCTTTCCCCAGACTTGGCACGTGCCGCACTTTCGTCATGTCGCCCTTGATTTTCTGCTTCCTGCCGTTGATGTCCACGCACTTCCCGTCTAGCGCGAGATAAATCTGCTTCGCTCCTTCGGCGATCTCCTCGGGCGTCAGCTGCTCCTCCTCGCCTGTGGCGCCCGGTGACACGCACGTGAACCACGTCTTGCTCAGGTTAACCGCCGAGCGGAACACGAGGTTCCACGACACAAACCCGAAATGCCAATCGCGACACAGCTGGCTCTCGACGCGACGACTCATGATTCGCACCCACAGTGGTAGCTCCACTCTCGGAGCTCCCCCCCCCCCGGCGATGACGCGGACGCTTCATGAACTCTGGGCAATCCGGCATCCCCGTGCAGTACTTGAACACAAACGCGAACGCGACGCCGAAGTACCAGGGCTCGAACTGGTCCATCATCACGTTCCCCGTGCGCACACGGAGTCGGTCCACGCGCTTCTTCTCTGTCGCCGCCTGCTCCAGCATGCCGCGCTCCACCGCCTCCCGCGACGCCTCCTGCGTTCCAGGGCCCGCCCCATCGCGGACGCAGACGCGCTTACGTCCACGCTCCGGTCGCCCGTCGCCGCCCCCCCCCCCGCTCGAACTCGACGTCTCATCTGCTTCGCCATGCGCGCACTCCTCATCCAGACGTTGCACGAAGGCTCGCACGGCCTCGCTCCGTTGCGCATTGATGTCCATCTCGTCGAAGCTGCTCCTCTCGCAGACCACCGCGTTCGTCTTCGTGCTCTCCAATATATCTGCCGCCTCCCTTACCCCGTCGGGCCTCGGAACGGGCGTCGCTGCCTTCTGCATCTGGATCTTGTCGAGCGCATCGCCCAGGGGTACCAGGCGCATGATCTCGGCGGGCACGCCTTCCTCCGGAAGTGCCATCGCCCTCCTCCGAACATCCTCCATATCCACACTTCGGTACGCGCGATGCCCGCGCGCTTTCGCTCCCTGAATGAGATCCACGACCACCTTCCTGCGCGCGAGAGCCCGGTGCACAAACTTGGCCACGCTTGCAGCCGCATCCTCGTCACCACCCGACTTGAGTATGACAGACACGATTCATGCCAGATCCGCCCCTGTGCGTGGCAGTGTTGGCGCGAGCCCCTCCGCGGACGTCGCGTCCGCTGCGGTTAATTGCGCTAGCAAGTCCGCCCACGGCATCGGGAACGAAGTTGCGTTCCCGCGCGCCGCCATGCGGGCTTCGTTGCCGCCCGTTTCCATGTCCAAGGCTCGATCCTTCCGATAGCGCTTCTCCAGCGTGAAACACACCATTGACGTTATGCACACTGACGCGCAGATCATTTCCAACACCGTCACCTTGCAGCCAAACAACTCCTCCGGCGAATAAAATGCCACCATGTCATTGGCCAGCGCCGCGGGAGGGAGCCCTGGCTCGCCACGGACGCCAACCATCGCGTTCCCGCACCCTCCGCACAACGGAGCCTTGCAGCAGCTGCGCGCTGTGTTTTCAGAGTGCGACGCGCCGCTGTCGCACCGGATGTCCTCCGGGCAGCAGAGAACCTTCATTGGCCCGTTTTCCGATGGCACGCGCACGCGCCAATCCTCGAACTCCCCCAGCCGGTCTCGCAGATGCACGCCACCTCTCGCCCCCCCAGCGCCATCTACTTCGCCATACCGCTCCACGCACGCGTCCACCGTCATGTTCCCCCGCACAGACGCGCCCGGAAGCCCGACAGATCCGCCTCCGCTGGCCGCCACCGCGCGCCATTCAAACGGGCTCCCTCTGCGCCCCTCCACGCGGGGAAACTTTCGCGCGCACGCTATGCACACGAGAGAGTAGACGGCGTCTTCCCGCAGACTGGACGCATACTCGCGTAGGCATCGACGATCGATCGACCGCGCTGCGACAGGCGCCCCCTCACGCACTGTCCAAGCGATCGCCTCGTTGTACGCTGACCAGCACTGCGTCTCACTCCGCTTGGCTTCGCCCTCCTCATGGCACGCAAGCGTCTCCGCGACAGCCCGCAACGCCTCGCGATGTTCGCCCACCACATGCGCGCGCAGCTCCGCTTCGCTGGAGCCCCGCCACCCGCAACCTTCAGAAGCGCAATGTGCACGCGGCAGCTCCACGGCACCGACGGAGAAGATGCGCTCGCCCTCCAGTGTTTCTCCGTGCACAGAGACCGCTGGCACGGTGGGGTGGTCTTTCACGGGACCCGCCGCCTTCTTGAGACCTTCCCCCCTACCCCCCCGGCTTACGTCCGCAGACACGCGCCCGTTGTCTACTGCGCGGACGCGGTATACGCGCGCCGCGCCTGATCTCTCGCCTGCGTCGGCGTTCACGGCCCGGCTGTCGCCCATCTCCGCGCTGCTCTGACCCGCCTGCCCACCCGTGCCGCGCACCGACGCACTCGGGGCCTGCGCAGACATTGAGTCGGGCACCTCCTTCGGGCGCCCCGCCTCTTCGGGCGAAGTTCTTCTACCTGTCTTGCGCGCACCTCCCCGGCGCAGCACTGGGTGCGGAGGAGGCGGTGGAGGGAGGATCGTCTCGACGGACGGCTCCACGCGGCTCGCGCCCGTCGGACCCGACGGCGACACGTCGGAGACCCCAGAATCCGGGCCAACCGGCGTGCTCTTGCCTGTGACGCGGGCTCGTTTCGCCGCCGCCCCCGTTCTGGCGGCCTTGTCGCCCACCGCGACTCGCCCGCTTCCTTCTTCGGCGGCGCGCCCCCCCTGTCGCTGCGCATTCTTCCGCGAATACTTCTCGGCGCCCGCCCATACTGGTCTGTAACAGGCGCTTCGGATGTTCACCCCCGTCATGTTGCACACTGCGAGCACAACGTCTCCGTTCGCCTCTGAGACCTCTTGCCCGTTCGCCCCTGTCACGTTGTACACTGCGAGTACAACGTCTCCGTTCGCCGTCGTCGTAGTTCCTGTAAACGTGGCCGACCTCGTGGTCGTCGACGTCGTTGTGGTCGTGGTCGTCGTGCCAGCGGCGGCGGTCGTCGTCGTCACATTCGAGCATCGCGATAGACTATCGCAGGGCGCCACAGGTCGGCTGCCAACAGAAGGGCCTGACGCAGGGCAGCTCATGCAGCCGCAAGCGCCCAGCTAGTGCTGCCGCAAGCGCCAAACGTTGCCGTCGCCATCGCACTCGACTTCGCCGCCGACGCCGACGTCGTAGTCATTGTGGCCGTCGTTCGACGTTTGAATCGTCGTCGTCGTCGCGGTCACCGACGCCACAGGTCGGCTGCGCAAGAAAACTCAACCGCGGGTGCAAACTTGTCGGCGGCAGCGCCTCCTCTACCCCTTTCTCCAGTCACCTCTCCTTCGCCTCCTCGTCCACCCCCCTTCTCCCCCTTTTCCGCCTTCTCCACCTGCGCTACTCTTTTTCCCCTCCTCTCCTCCTCCTGCTCCTCCTCCGACCCCCACTGACTGTGCACATTCGTTACCGCCGCCCTCGTCATCGTCGTCATCGTCGTCGTGCCGGCGCCAGAGGTCGGCTGCTCGACAGGGACGGGCAATCTATAATACACTGCAGCGGATTGCCCATTCAATCACGCTCAAGCGCAACCGCGCCTCCCACCCCGAGACCCCCGAGGGCGGAATCCCGCTTGAGCGCGATTGAATGGGCAATCCGCTACATCGCACAGGCCGCGCTGTGCACGGCGGCATGCACGCCCAGAGCTCTGCGGCACATAGAAGCGCACGCGAGGGGCGCCGACCGCCACCGCGAAGCTGGCCAACGAGGATGGCGTGGGCTGCTGGCCTGTGGACCACCACTGCGTTGACGCTGAACCTGCGGCTTGACGCAAAGTGTTGCGGACCGTGGTGTAGTCGCCGTATTCGCTGTCAGTGTCTGGGTACAGTTCTGGCGCGGTCAACCGCGGGCTGCTGGGGGCCTCCCAAGCGCGGCCCCCAGGCACGGACGTCGAACTGTCCAAGGCGCGGGGAGCGCATGCCGCCACGCCAGGCGATGCCGCGGGATGCTCGCTACCTAGTTCCAGCTCCGAGGCGTCACCCGACATCTGGTGCCGGCGGGGCATGCATCCAGGGCGACTGCGGCTCCGCCTCCTTTCCTGCCGTCGCACGTCCAAGTCGTCAGAAGTGCTGCCAGTGGGCGCCAGGTGGAGACAGGCGTGCGCGGGCGCCATCAACCGATGTGGGCACAGCGAAGTACCGGCTCGTTCGGTGCCGGATGGTGGGACCTGCGGTGCTGGTTATGGATTGTGCACCCACCGCATAACCCCAGCCAAAATGATGACGGCCCATGGCACCACGCATATTGACGATGCCGCGAACTCGCGCATTCTTTCGGAATGTTTCGTAAACTTCCACAGACGGACGGCGGTTCTTTTCCATATCGGTCGCTTGCTGAGACAACGCGCTCAAGCGCATGACAATTCACCAACAATGACAAGGATGGACAGGCGTTCCTTTTCGACATGTGGGCATGTCTCCTGCCACTCTCAGGGCCCCGCAGACCCGGACACGCCAGACTCGGACACCCAACATCCCGAGAAACCAATATGTCCACACGGCAGCATGAACAAACTACTGCACGAAAGCACTTGAAGAATAAACCTGGACACAGGCCCCAAAAGCTTGCAAAACACCCCTAAACCCGGACACAATCCCGACTTCTGCAGTGCAGCAAACGAAACAGACACGTGAGCTGAAATACGTCACTTTGCGGGAACAGATGTTGTTTCCTTAATTTTCTGCGCCCTGGTTTATCTGTGCCCTGGCCCCCGGGGGCCTGACACTACTGCTTCTGCTCAGGGCCGGTCAACCTAGCGAGTTTCGGCCAAGGAGAAGGCGGAAAAAAACAACCCTCCGCATGCCATCCTCCTTGCCCTTCATGCCGCGTCTGCCTGCTCACCACCACGCGCCTCCTGAACCCACATCCAGGGCCATCTGGCAATCCCTTGCGTAAACGGTTCGCTGGAGGCGCCAGGCTGAGAACCCGCCCCCGCCGCCACCGCCCGCGCGGTTCTCGAGCAAAGGCCGCCATTCTGGACTGGCACGGTGGAAGGGCACGGGTCTTGCCGCATGCCACGGCATTCTCTACCTCGACGCCTGACCACAAATCCTGCCCCCGGGCTCGCCACACCAGAACGGCCCGCGAATCGTCATCGAGGTCTCGTGCTCCTCTTCTTTTGCTCCTCCCCCCCCTCCTCTTCGCGTTCCTCCTCTTCCACCTCCTTCTCCTGCTCCGCCTCCTCTGCCTCCTTCTCCTCCTCCTCCTCCTTTCCCTCCCCCCGCCTGCTTCTTTCGCCCCCCCCCCCCCCCCCCCCCCCCCCCAATATTGCATTCTCTCTCACCACCGAACATACGCGTGACAGAGCGCGCGTGCTATCCATGTGGACACAAAGCTGGCATAAAGCCTCCTACGATCTACGCGGGGGTTCAACAAACTGCGAACTTTGCCCATTGCAGACGCACTGCGAACACATTAGCGGCACGACGTACGAGCGAGCAGTTTGGACTCATAGGTGGCAGAGCGCACCCGCATTGCAGGCGCACTGCGGCTGCAAACACAGCCTCCCGAACAACGGGACAGAGCCCCCCGGGCGCACTAACACAGCCCCCCCGAGCGTGCAAACCCAGCCCCGACAGACCCCAAGACGCTCCAAAACAATCCCCAATGAGCTTCAATCTACACCCCTCGTCGAGACCAGCGCAGCCGCCGCCGCCGCCTCCGCCGCCGCCGCCGTCGTGGTCGACGTCGCCGTGATCGTCGCGCCTCGGGGCTGGAGGCTGCGCATAACGGACCCCGGGACCTCTGCCGCTACGCAGCCATACCAGATCTTCGATCTGCGCCCACGCAGTGGCGACGCGGAGGGCCCCTCGAAGGCCGGAGAGCTTCGAACCACGATCCTCGAACTGCAGTCCTCGAGGCACGATCCCCAAAGCTCGAG